AAATCAGTATTAAAAATTATTATGATTAAAAAAAAAACCCTACAACAAACATACTTCATGCTTTCCTCCTAAGGTCAGGAACAAGACAAGAATTCTCTTACTTTCTCTACTTAACCTGGTACTGGAGGTTCTAGCCAGTACAGCCAGGCCATAAAGGAAATTAAAGTCTTCCATATTAGAAAGAAAGAACAGCACTGCCCTTATTCACAGATGACATGATCCTGCATGTACAAAAGTATAATTTTAAAGAATCCATACAAAAACATATTAGAACTAATAAACAAGTACAGCAGGGTCACAAGATACAAGATCAACTAGAAAAAAATCTGTTGTATTTCTACATACAAGCTATAAGCAATCTGAAAATAAAATTAAGATCATGATAAATCAAAAGAACAAAATATTTAGTAACGAAAGAAGTGAACATTACAAAACTTTGCTGAGAGAAATTAAAGAAAATCTAAACGGAGAAACATTTCAACTTCATGAATTGAAAGTCTTAATATTGTTAAGAGGATGGAAACAAGAATTTATTCTAAATGGGCACGAGGGAGTCTTACTGGAGGGACGAAAATGTTCTAAAACTGATTTTTGGTGATAGTTGCACCATTTGGTAAGTTACGAAAAATCGTTGAATTGTGCACGTGAAATGGCTGAACTTTATTGTATGTAAAATATACCTCAATAAAGCGATTTTAAAAAGTGAGTTAGATGGGAACAAAGGCTGAAGTGGATTCTCTGCAAGTATTAGAGGGGGGAAAGGCTGATGGAGGGTTCCTCTGTGTGTCTCCCTTTATGGACGCCCTTGGCTGGCACATCCATGTCATGCTTACTCTGGAAACACTAGTGGGAAATAAGGGTTGGTGTCTACGCTTTCCTTTCTTTAGATTTTGTCTTAGAAATTTCACTCCCATTTGAATAATAATGAAATACAAAGATACTTTTGTGATTCAGTGATGACATTGAACTCTTAATTAGATTAAGCATTTGGCTGAGTACCTTTAGTTTAGTAACAGTCTTAGCAATTAGAATTGATTTATGTTGCATAATTAATGGTCCAGTTGCATAGGGATTACACGGCAAATAATTAATGACGATTTATTGCAGGCTTCTGTATAGAAAGTACTTTATCCAGCCTTCTACGGTCTTTTTAGGGTCATCTAATTGTTCAGGAAATGAAAGCAACTTTCTTTAGAAGGCAGACTGGTGGTGGTGGTGTGGGGTCCAGACCCTGAAATTAACCTGTGATCTATTTATTGTCTTAGTAGACATGGTATAGATGGAGACATAGACAGATACTCGTATCAGCGCAGGCTTTTGTTTAAGTCCCTTGAGAACTGAATACAAATTTCTCCCCTAATTTCCTGTTTCCTTCTAGATCATCCACAGAACCTTGGCCGCCATGTTGGGCTCCCTTGCAGCGTTAGCAGCACTGGCCATGATTGGCGATGTAAGTTTCAAATAATGTCAGACTCAAAGACATACCAGAAATTGGACTCAACCTGGTGTTTCTCATTCTTTAATATGCTTTTTCCACATTTTCCTCCAGGAATCGTGCTAGAGGTTTGAACTAACAAACTTTTATCTTGATGAATATTTTTCATCTAATTTTATTACATCACAGTGGTGTGATTTCCCATGTTACATACAGTTGAGGAAAGGTTCGTCAAGTCCATGCATCTGTGCAGGGTCACATAGCTGAGTGGTGCTAGTGCTAGACATAGGTCGTGTCCTCTTGGGAGTTAGAGGAGATCACCTGGCTGGGAAGAGGGTTGGGGCTGTGTCCTGTAGACCTCAGGAGGCCCCTGGAGATGCATACGTGGGGTCTGAGGATGGTCCATCTTCAGGAACATGCTGGAGAGGGAAACTTGGTGTTGGTGGAGGGTTGATGTTGGGTGGAATTAAGGAGTCCCCAAAGGTTGCAGCACACAGAAATGGATTTGAAAACAAGTGTATGGAATTTAAAGAATTGTCCTGAAACAATTACTAGATGCCTTTCAATAATAACCCGTTTAAGAATACCCAGTTTAACAAATTATGTGTATGTTCAGTTACTTATTATTTTTTAATTTAAAATTTGAATGTAGGACCAACCTGAAAACAGTAGCAAGAACTTGAACTTTTCCCTGGCTAGTGTTGGTGTAAACAAATGCTAACACTAAAGGTAAAATGTCCCAAACCCTAGAACTTAGACATAAAACCACTTGTCCTGGCAGATTTTATCTTTAGAATAAATAAAGATATATTCAGATTTGTCATACATAAATTCATTTTGTTTTTTTTTCAAGATAGTCATGGCAAGGAATGCAAGTAAGACCTGAAGACATTCATTTAACATTGGAGAATCAGAGTTGACAATTACAATGTTAGTTTAAATGTCAGAGTCCAAATCTTTTAGACTTTAGGCTTTTACTGTTAACGAGTGGTTTCAGGAGGAACTCAGAAGAGGCCCCTTTTAGCTACAGTCTGAAGCTGGTTGTGACGAGAAATATCTCAGCAGGCTGTCAGTCTTCAGACAGAGAGTCGGAAAGTCAGAGAGACCTTTTGCTTCTGTCTTCTCCAAAAATGAGCAGAGATCTATGGATTTATATACCATGTGTGCTGTCATGTCCAACTATAATTGGTATGCTTTATTGCCAATTAGGGGCATGGTTGTATGACATACTTACGTTTTGCTGATTTATAGAGATTTGAATTATTGCCAATTAAAGCATGACATATATATGTTCTTATTTACTACATATGTTTCAAGGCTAAGTTAATTAATTAAAAATTATGGCTATTATTTAGTAACATATTTATGTCTTGCTAATTTATAAAGTTGATGAATGTTACATTCCATTATCAGAGAGTGAAGGTGCACAGCCCAGTTTAGGAAAGTAATTTATGACATACTTTATCTATTTCCAAGTTTGGAACAACTTTTTTTTTTATGTTGGTCAGGATAAACCTTTTTATATATGTATCTATATGCATATATATATATATATATATATATATATATAGTGCTTTAGGTGAGAGTTTACAGCTCAAGTTAATTTCCTGTACAAAAATCCATACACATATTGTTATGTGACACTAGTTGCAATTCCTACAATATGACGGCACACTCCCCCTTTCCACCTTGGGTTTCCCATGTCTATCTGTCCATCCAACCAGATCCTGTCCCTTCCTGCCTTCTCATCCTGCCTCCGGACGGGAGCCGCCTATTTGGTCTCGTGTATCTGCTTGAACTAAGAAGCACACTCTTCACTAATATTATTTTATGTTTTACAGTCCAGTCTAATCTTTATCTGAAGAGTGGGCTTTGGGAATGGTTTCAGTTCTGGGTTAACAGCGTCTGGGGGCCATGGCTTCGGTGTTACTTCTAGTCTCAGACCATTAAGTCTGGTCTTGTTACATAAATTTGAGTTCTGCTCCACACCTTTCTCCCACTTTGTCAGGGAGAACAGCTTTCTAATGACTTATAGTTAATGTTAAGGGGCATTAAGGAAGTATTCATGTTTCTATTTCTAAGTCCAGAAATTTTCCATTTCTAACTTCACATTATAAGTGACTTACACATAGGTGTTTAAAAGCATTATAAAAACATGATAACAGTGGAAAAAGCATCATATAAATATACATAATAGTGATTTATACATAGGTGTTTACAAACATTATGAAAGCATCAAAACAGTGTAAAAGCATTATAGATGCATACATAATAGTGAGAAAATTTGAGAACATAACAGAAAGCATGCATAACACCGCCATTAGTTTTATTAATTGTTAGGAATAACAACTATGTGTGCTGTTTTGTTTCAAACATCACTTATATGGCACAGACCTGGCACATACTCTAGGGAGATGCGCTGGCTTTGGGCCACTGGGCAGTCTTTTCCCTCCAGCCAGCCTCCAAGCAGCACAGCCTCTGAGCTCCCAATCCCCACTGGTAGAGTGGGGTGATGACGCCTACCTTCCCTGCTCCACAAGTGGTCAGAGGGAGAAATGAGAGAGGGCAGGGGGAGTGCTTTGAAATGTAGGACAAACGGTTATTGTCATCCTGGCTGAAGATCACTGCACCCAGGAAAGCAGAGGTGGACACCACTAAGGCCGTACCTGACAAGGCCAGCCCTGCAATTCGGGCAATATGTCCTCATGGAATCGCCAGGAACAGGGTCTTTTTTAAATTACTAAATGTGTAGGCTTGTCATTAGAAATGACTTTGTCACTGCTGTTTTTGAGGGGTGTTATACCTCAAAGGCAAGTGGGTGGTATGATTCTAGCTGCGGGCTGACGATGGGTGCAGTAAGCAGCAAGACATTTGTACAGCTTGTTATGGGTGTGGAGGTAGGCACCAGACTAACTGGCACATTTATCTTTGATTGCAGAGACCTAGACTGAGCCACGTGGTGGAGTGGATTGATTTTGAGACCCTGGCCCTCCTGTTCGGCATGGTAATTGCAGCCCTTCCAGAGGGCATGACTCAAACCACTGTAACTGAGACTGTCTCTTTTGCTGCTGCTGCTGATCCTTCATTCTGTTAAAAACACTTCGCTGCTTAACGGCTAGGGCTTGACTGAAAAGTGTCAGTGTGCATCTAGCTAATTTGTCCTGGGAAGGAATCAAATGGTTGATACTCTATAGTTAGTCAGAACTTTAAGTCTAAGACCTGTTTGATAGTGAAAAAAAATTACCATCTAAAAAATTTAGGGATATTTTTGGGTTACCCAAAACCAAACTCAGTGCCATCAGGTCATTTCCAACTCATAGTGAACCTATAGGAAAGAGTAGAACTGCCCCACAGGGTTTCCAAGGCTGTAAATCTTTATGGAAATAGACTGACACATCTTTCTCCCACAGAGCAGCTGCTGGGTTCGAACTGCAGACCTTTTGGTTAGCAACTGAGTGCTTTAACTACTGCGCCACCAGCGCTTCTTATTTTCGAGTTACTGCCCTTAAAATATAAAATGGAATATCTCAAATTAATGAACCATAAAAAAGTTTTGGTGATTGGAAAAGAACATTTCACATTTAAAGGAAGAAATGGTCCCTAAGTAATAGTTTGTGTTTTTGTCATTGACATTGTCAAGTGGCCACTCTGTGCAAGGCAGCTGTGATCTGTGAGAAATGGCACCAAGTCGGCTTGCTATAAGGGAGCTTTAATAGCACAAGCAGGCTAGTGTAGGACACAGTCATAGCTCAATGTAACTATAATCAGTAGACTTTCACAAGGGCCTGGACAGCAGATGATTTGAAGGGAGAGCTTCTTCTCTCTGGGCTAGGGGACCCATCCTATGTAAAGCAGGCTGCAGAGTGAAGGGCCTACTACCCTTGACTTCAATCTTACCCAAACTAGCACTGCACCATCTTTGGGGTGAAGTATAGGAGGTGCAGGCAGTGACCTGACTTGTGCATCCCAGAGACACTAATGTTTGTGTTGAGTCCTGAAATGCATATAAGGCTTGGGCATCTGAATGAAGGAAGGCATACCAGATGTCTTATAAAATCCGTTCTTCTGAAAAACGTAAATGAGTGATTTAATTTGGCTTTTCTTAACTGAGTAAATTCAGCAAATCCTTGCAAGTTCTATGATTCTAGAACTGTGGGAATGCAAAGATAGTCTTGTAATTTTGTCATGGCAGCCAACCCCCTGTCTTGGTTTGTTGGGTGACTCTGGAGGCTAATATGTGGCCCTGCTTCAACACGACCACAGGAACCACACGAGACCGATCCAGTCATATGGGCCTGGGACTTTCAGTGTGACGAGAAGCACCAAGTTCTGCAAACAGCCTCCACAGTGGCCATTTTGTGTTAGAATGAACATCAATGGTCACTTTAGATAAGATAGATACTTGTACTGGGTCTAAACTGACTTTTGGACATTTTTGTTTCATACAGTCTATTTGAAAAAAAATTGGGCCTACAATTTACCAAGTACTTTAATTTACATTTTTACTGAATTATCACAATGACCTTACAAGATATGAAAAATTAGAAGGTGAGAAAATTACAGTACAGAGGGTTAAATAGTTTTTTGATCAAAGTTGAACTACTAAGTGGCAGAATCAGGCTTTGAACCTGCATTTTCTCACTCCAAGTTCAAAACTACCATTGTAGAAAGTGAAATACAGAATCTTCCAGAAAGTTCAGGCTGGTTGAAATGTCTGGTAGTTTAGATTTTGAATAAATGAAACATGACTTTTTATTAACATTTAGAATGGTTGTTCTCATCAAATCACTGTCATCACTAGAAAGAGACATGAGTGAGTAGGCATGCTGTGTTCATACAGATCCCAGAGAACAATCCTTTCAATGTAACTGCTCTTATTTATATGCCTTGATAAGATTTGTGACAACAATCAGTTTAATTACTTTAAAAAAACAAAATTTAACCCAGCTTTAAAATCTTAAAATGTCTAAACTGTTGCATGTGTGGACAGTGAGGTGCAGAGTCCACATTCTGGCCCACTCCTTACCTGCCTCCAGCTCTGTGATTGGGCGGGTCACCTCACTTCTCTAGTTTGTAAGTGGAGAATAATAGTAATGCCTGGTATTTGCTGTAAGGATAAGATGGAATGATACTGCGTCTCCTGGACAAATCCCTGACTAGAAGGTAGGTGCCAAAGCACTTGAAAGAGCCTCCCTTCAGGGAGCTAATTAGTTCTCGTGGAACAGAAGTGAGTGACAAGATGATGAAGTGAAGGCCTTTCAATGAGAGATGCAGAGCGCGGTGGTGGGGGAGCTTTCTCTTAGAGCCATGGCTTATATAACATTACTCTGACCATTGTGAAACACTGCTCTGCTAAAACATTCTCCTTGTCTTTTGTTTCTTGTTCTCCCATAGATGATCTTAGTAGCCATATTTTCAGACACTGGATTTTTTGATTATTGTGCTGTGAAGGTAGGTTAAACGTAGCATTTAATAGTTGTATATTAATTAATTAATATATTTTCCCACTATTACGTATTTAGTAAATAAAACTATCATTGAAGCAAATATTTTAAAATCCTGCCTTCCTTTTGAAAAATCATGTCTGTAAAGCCGGTACAGTTGCAGTGCTAAGAAGTAATATGGCTCTGAGCAGTACTCTCAGCTTCTCGATAAATACCTGAAGAAGATCAAGGAGAAGAGTACTGAGATTGAATGTTTGTGTAATATTACATAAATTGGCAGGTTGAGAGCTACACATCAAAATTGTTTTGCATTTTAGAGTATGCAAATATTTCAAGTCATCAGCCTCTGATTACTTTGTTTTTGGTAAAATAATTTTAATGATTGCTTTCTAAACATTGAGCATATTCACTTTCATAACCGCAACCCTGGGGGAACCCACCAGCATGTTCTGACCTTCAGAATTTGCAAAGGGCTGATGGTTCTATCATTCAGAATCAGCAAGAGGAGAGCAAAACTAGTGTAAAGACTACTGGTGTGCTTGTTTTTTTTAACAATTGAAAACTTATTTATTTAAACTTATTTTAAGATACTATTTAATCACCTTTAGCGTTACTAATGAACAATGCCACGTATGCATGACCCCAATGATCTGTCTTGTTCCTTTTTGTGTGTGTGTGCTGCAGGCCTACCAGTTCTCCCGGGGAAGAGTGTGGCCCATGATCATCATGCTGTGTTTCATTGCTGCCATCCTCTCTGCCTTCTTAGACAATGTCACCACCATGCTGCTCTTCACTCCTGTGACCATCAGGTATGCAGCATGCTTCTGCCACAGGTGTTCTGACTGGGCTCGCAGAAGGTGTGGTTCTGCCTGGACAGCCTTGCTCAGGGCTCCATCTTTGCACCCGTGAGAATGCCCATCTGCTCACCTCACGGGCCTACAAGTTTCAGTTGAGCTGCTGTGTTGGCAAGTGCTTTGTATAAGCCATGCTGCACTGTTCCAACACCACATGGCTGTAGTACTGTGACAGCTGTGAGGGTGGCCACAGCTGCTGCAGAAACACTTGCAAGGAATGAGAAGACACAGGCCTTGCTTTCATGGAGATTAGACTTTAATCCATACCACTAACAACCAGGTACTAGAGGCTATTGTCCCTGCACGCCCTCCCATCCATGGCCTCAGGTGACTCAGATGGCTGGGAGGCTCCTGTCTCTGAGCAGCACAGGAGTGCCTAGCGTGAGGACTGGAGAGGTTGTCATGGGGGCCAGAAGGCTGCTGGACTGACCAGGCTGAGTGGAGTCAGGGCCAGTCTGGCAAGGCTCTGCAGGGACACTTGGAGAGTGAGAAATTCAGCTTCTTTTAATTCCATCCACTTCAATCACTCAGCATTTAATGAGCGCCAGAGACTACTTCCCAGAATCTCCTGCAGCCTTCCGGGCCATGGGTCAGATCTTGTATCCATACTTTATATTCTTTAAGTTCTATCAGCCTTGGCCCCAGGCCTGTGTCCTCCCTGCTTAGACTTGTCATGTACAGCACTCAGCTTGGCCCTGGTGGTTTAAGAGTGACAGGGCAGGTACCCCGCAGGGCCTCACAGGGAGGGGCCAGCATTAGCTGGTGGGTCCTTCAGCTGCACTCTTCTGGTTTTTGTCATCACAGTGATGACCTGTTTGGGAATTAGATGAGATGAGGAGCCAGCCTGGACCCTGAGGCTTGTGACATAAGTGCCTTCAAAATTGCCGTAGGGAGCTACTTCCAGCTCAGGAGACTCCTGGGGAGAAGGCATTTGGCCTCTGGAGAGCGGGAGAGTCATAGAGAATTGGGAGTGTGGGGAGGGAAGGGGAGGAGGAAGGATGGAAGGAGCAGGGAGCAAGTCAGCTCCCTGCATCCCTACCTAGCAGAGGCTTGAGCTGCCCACTTGGTCCGCTGCTGTCGCTGTGGGAGACTTGGGCTCCAGCCTAGGTCTGCCCATTTGCTGTCTGTTGTCCTGACCCATGTGCAGACGGGGATTCAGGGTGGGAGAGGATGGACCCATCACCTCTCCTGGGCAGGATGGGACACCATCATCTCTGAGGACCTGTGGCTTCTTCTGAGGGTAAATGAATGATGGAGTGAAAGTGTTTGGAGGGCATTAAGAAGGGTAATCTGCACTACTGACGTTTCAAATCATGCCCTTTGGACACCTCGGGGCAAAAAGCAGGCCCCAGGGCACAATCCTGGGCCATACACCTGCTCTCCTCCAACCAGAGCTCTCTGTGGCAGACACTTATCTGAAAGCCACCACATTAGCCAACTGTCATAGTCATCTAGTGCTGTTATAACAGAAATACCACAGTGGATGGCTTTAACAAAGAGAAATTTATTTCCTCACAATAAAGTAGGCTAAAAGTCCAAATTCAGGGTGTCAGCTCCAGGGGAAGGCTTTCTTTCTCTGCCAGCCTTCTCATCAATGTTTCCCCAGACGAGGAGCTTCTCCATACAGGGACTGCGGGTCCAAAGGACAAGCTCTGCTCCCAGCATTTCTTTCTTGGTGGTATGAGGTCCCCAGCTCTCTGCTTGCTTCTCTTTCCTTTTATCTCATGTAAGATAAAAGGTGGTGCAGGCCACACCCCAGGGTAACTCCCTTTAGATTGGATCAGTGATGAGACCTGGGTAAGGGTGGTGTTACAATCCCACCTAATCCTCTTTAACATAAAATTACAATCACAAAGTGGAAGACAACCACACAACACTGGGAATCATGGCCTAACCAAGTTAACACACATTTTGGGGGGGCCACAGTTCAATCCATGACACTGACTGTGCCAAGTCTCACTGCAGTGTTGCTCTGTTCTGGAAGCGGCTCCTAGGCCAGGAGGTGTTGTATTCCCAGAATCCCTGTGTGGTTCTGACCAAGAGGATCTCTTCAGCCTTGTCAGCATTAAGTGATATCCTCACTTCTCCAGGATTTGGCTTTCTCATTTTATGCTACAGCAGGTATTCCGTTCATTAGTCTAAAATCACATCTTTCAAGATCCAAGGTTTACAATTCTAAGATTCACATGTTATCGTCTCACAACTTTCAAGCTTTGATGGTTTTATTTTGCCTTTGGACTGAATAGTAGGAGTCTGTGGCCCGTTCAAACTGGAAGTTTTCTCTGTGCGTTGCCTGGGTGGTTTACCAATGCACACCTGTGGTTTTCTTGCTGGAAGCAGATTCTTATGCGTCTTCTCCACTGAGTGATGCTGATGACTGGGGGCCTGATGCTCATTTGTGGGGTTGCTCCTGCTTCGGGTCCCCAAATATTGTTACTTCATCAGCTTCTACATGGCTCCATGGGCCAGTCCATCCCTGAAACCAGTAAAGAGAAGGGCTATGTGACTCAATCTGACAGAGGGACAGCTGAATGCAGTAGGACCTCCTGCCAGCCTGAAGACCCAAGGCCCAACTTCTATACGGAAGTGGGAATTGCAGGATGGGCAGGTGTGGAAGACGTTGTCATGCATTTTCTAAACTCTCTTTAGAGCAGTGTTACTCACCTATGTGCACTGGGATCACCTGGGAGCTTTAGACCTGGTCTGGGTGGGCCTGGGCTCCCGGATAACTCTAGTGAGAACAACTGTATGTGAGAACCATTGCTATAGGGTGTGTGTTCATTTCACAAGGAAGAAGCCCATGTTTAGTAGCTAAAGGGAAGAGGTGAAGGGGAGCTTATGGACTGAGGGAAAGGGATTTCGCATCATAGAAGGGAAAGGTGGGGAGAGGGGAGGGAGAGACTGTGGCAATAGGCTTGCTATGCATCATTGGGTGGGATGCTTCTCTGCTGCCCTCCAGCCAGACTCAGAGAGTCTGGGCTAGGGCCTGCCCTTCCCTGGGGACCTGCCCACAGGGAACTCCCTCCAGACCTGTGGGTGCCTGGGGCATCAGACTGATGGGTCATGTGGTGGGTTAACTTTGGGAAGAAATATTCTCAGAATCACCTCTAACCTGAGCTCTAATCTCTCACCACATTGTCATTGTTTGTCTCCCAGTCTTGCCCATAGTTATGTTTGTATGCCTTCCTTGTACAATCAAGTGTTTTAAAAATATTTGGGTGGCCCACAGGCCTTTTAAAATATGAATGCAAGGGAAACAACTTTCATTTTCCTCTGTTTGTGACAGATTATGTGAAGTGCTCAACCTTGATCCAAGACAAGTCCTGATTGCAGAAGTGATTTTCACAAACATTGGAGGAGCTGCCACTGCCATTGGGGACCCACCAAATGTCATTATTGTTTCCAACCAAGAGTTGAGGAAGATGGTATGTACTAGTATACAGGGTTACTTCCAATACATGTAGCCCTCATCTTTCCCACTTAGAACTCTATCCAACATGGAACCTCAAGCTCATCTATGTCTTCATAGTGGCCATGTCAAGAGTGGGATATTAGTTGACAGACCCTCCAATGTAGAGCTAAGTGGTCTGAATTGGTTTCACTCTCATTCTGATAAATTTTAAAACAAATGATTGAATAATACAATCTATTTAATCACAGTGTATTATATTATTTTATTATATTAGTAGAACTGAGGTTTCTCCCAACTAGTATTAAGAACTAAATGATCTATCTCCTCTTACTGAAGATATGAGATTTTCTTCTCAACAGTAGTTGATGAAATCTTCACTGACGGTGGTTCTTCATGGATGAAGAACTTAAGAATTTTTTTTTTTTTAAGAATGGTCACAAAATGAAGGACTTTAGACATTTTTTAAAGGCCTTATAATTATTAATATATAATTTATTTTTATACTACAGTAAAGACAAAGTATTAGATAAAGAGAATGCAAATGGTGTTTTACATGTCTTAAAGGGTTAAAATTAGAACTATGTAATTAGGTTGCATTTGTCATTTTTGGTCATCAAAAGTTTTTCAATCTCCCTTCTCTGAGGTATCAGTACAAATGCTTTATTTATTTTTTATTTATTGTAGATGATGTGTTTTTGTGTATGTCTGTGAAGTGTGCTTGTATATGCATGCCATCTTCCATAAAAATATTTAAACCTTTGAGAGTTCATGGTTCTAAGATGCTAATGGTCACTTTGTGGGCCACACCATGTTCTAGAGATTCAGGTATACCTTGAATGCTTTGGCTAAAGTTTACATTCCCTGGTTGCCCTGGAAAACCACCTGGTAACATTCCCTAGCCTTGCTGATGAGCTGAGTCATTGCGTAGATTTTGCTCTGCCCATAATCATGTCACCTTGTATACATCAGAGGGTGACAGAGACCTGTAATTTGTTTTAGGGCCATTTGTCACTCAGGATGCACCAGATACACATAGGAGAGAACTATTTCTAAAAAAGTACTTGTTTTATTATTTTTATTGTACAATAATACCTTGTAGGAAATAGAAATCATGCACACACGTATACACAAATAAAAAATTTGTCATAATCTCCCCATCAAGAGAAAACTCTCCTAAATATTTTGGTGCACATAGTCTCCCGGAATGTTTGTGTGTGGTTATTCATGGATAGAATAGATAGCACAACTTCTGCTTTTGACCAGTCTAAGGTGCTAGATTCGCTCTCTTGCTTGAGACAATAATTAAAAAAAAATACATGAAACAATGGTTATAAAGACACTGGACATCAGGCAACAAAAGACAGTGATCTCTGAGAGACAGGAAACAAATGATCTGACCCCTATGATGGCCCAGATCACTGCCTGGAGTTTCCAGGATGTCTTACAGGGAAAGAAATCCAGGTGAGGCCATTGGACTTCCAGAGTTGAGGAGATGGAACTTACAATATTGGAAGACCAAGGTGGCTAGAGTTTGTAGGACAGAGTATCAGAGAGGAAATAGCTGTACACAGAGAGAACCCCAAAGTTCAAGAGGGTTCCCCTTGAGTATTCATCATAGTATTCATATCAGTGCACACATGTGAGGAAACTATTCAAGGCCAGGAGGAGAACAACCCAAAAAAGATTAGAAGGAAGAGTGCTTGCTACTAACACAGGACTTGGAATAATGTCTGTTCCTGCTAGATAGACTGGAAAACCTCTTAATTAATGGGGCACTGGGTAGCGTACCCACAAGTGTCTTACCTCAGTAGTGTGGAATAATTAGCTCTAGACTAAACACTGTTCTGGTTCCACCTAAAATATCTTAAAGACCCCAAAGAATCAAACTGTTTCTAAGTAATTTAACTGCATTCCAGAACGAACCTCAAGAATCCTTACAGGAATATGAAAGTATCCAACAACACATAGGATAAAATTCACAATGTCTGGCATCCAATAAAAGATTTTCTAGGCAATCTTTTTGGAAAGAAGCAAGAAAATATGACCCGTGGACAACGAGAAAATTATAAACCAATCCAGAACAGACACTGATGTTAGTTTAGAATTAACAGGCAAGGTAATTGAAACTATTATTATAACTGTGTTCTAGGTGCTTATTAAGTAGAAACACAAAAGATATAAAAAAGGCCCCAATAAAACTTTTAGAGATGATAACTATAATGTCTGAGAGAAAAAACATACAGGATAGGATTAACAGTAGATTAGAGATTGCAGAAGGAAAGATTAGTGAACTTGAAAACATAGCAATAAAAAAATTTAAAACTGAAGCAGAGTGAAAAGGTAATACAGGAAATTAAAAACATTAATAAACTATGGGAAAACTTCAAGTGGTCTAACATGTAATTCTAGTTTCCAAAGAAGGCAGGGAACAGGAAAACAATGAAGAAAAAAAATAATCTCAATATTTCCAAATTTTATGAATGGTGTAAACCCACAGGATCAAGAGGTGAACCCAATACACAAGAAGACTACATTAAGTCACATCATACTCAGATTGTACAAAAGTAGTAATAAAGAGAAAATTGTAAAAGCTGCCATGGAAAAAGGAAACCCTGGTGGTGTAGTGGTTAAGCACTATGGCTGGTAACCAAAAGGTCGGCAGTTCGAATCTACCAGGTGCTCCTTGGAAACTGTATGGGACAGTTCTACTCTGTATTGTAGGGTTGCTATGAGTCAGAATTGACTCAAGGGCAACGGGTTTGGTTTTTGCCATGGAAAGAAGACATTACATACAAAGAAAAAAAGGATGACCACAGATTTATCTTCAGAAACAATGCAAGTGAGAAGATAATGGGACAACGTCTTTAAAGTGCTAAAAGAAAAAAAAGCGTCAACTCAAATATGAGTGAAAATGTTATGTCCTTATATATAAGAAAAGACTTCTTCTAATATATAAAAGCTAAAAGAATCTGTCAACAGAAGACTTGTGCTGCAAGAAATGCCAAAGAAAGTCCTTAAAGCAGAAGAAAAATAATACCAGATGGAAACATGGATCTACACAAAGGAATGAAGAGCACCAGAAATGATAATTACATGGGTAAATTAATATGATTTTTTCTACTTATTTAAATAACTTTAAAAGGCAAGGGTTTAAATAAAAATAATTTTAAGGGATTTATAACATATGTATAAGTAAGATTATGACATCAATATTATAAATACCAGGAGAGAAGAAATTAAAGTACGCTAATGTAAGGTTCTCATACAATATGTAAGTTGACATAATGTCACTTGAAGGTGGACCGACAAGTTAAAAATGTATGCTATAAACTCTAAAGCAACCATTAAAATGACAAGACAAAGAGTAACAGCTAATAAGCCGACAAAGTATGTAATATAGAATCATAAATAACATTCAGCTAATACAGTGGAAGGCAGGAAAAAGAAAGTAAAGAATAGATGGGACAAACATGAGTCAAACAGCAGGAGTTAAGCCTAACCATATGAATAACCACATATAAGTAAATAGACAATATCCCAGTTAAAAGGCAGGGATTGTCCCAATTAAAAGGCAGGGAACAAAAAGCTTGATCCAACTATATGCTGTTTACAAGACACACACTTAAAATACAAAGACACAAATAGATTAAATGTAAAGGAATGGCAAAAAATACAGTACACTAAGACTCATTGGAGGAAAGCTGGAGTGGTTATATTAATAGAACAAAATTATTATATTAATATGACATAGGAGACTGCAGAGCAAAGAATATTACCAGGATTAAAGAGGGACATTTCATAATGATGAAGAGATAAGTTCATAAAGAGGGTATAACAGTCCTAAGCATTTATTCAACCAACGACAAAGCTTCAAAATACATGAAATAAAAACTGAAAGAGTGGCAAGAAGCAACAGATAAATCGTCAATTATAGTTGAAGATATCAATACATCTCTCACAGTGATTGATAGAACAAGTAGACAGGACATCAGCAAGGATATAGAAGACTTGAACAACATTATCAGCCAACTTGACCTAATTGCTACTTGCAGAAAACTCCATCCAACAATATCAGAAAGTGTATTCACATGAAACATTTACCAAGTTAGACCATATTCTAGGACATACAACAAGTCTCAATAAATTTGACAGGATTCAAGTAATACAAAATATGTTCTCTGACCACAGTTGCATTGAATTAGAAATGAATAAAAAAGGTATTTAGAAAATCCTCAAATATCTGGAAACTAACATACTCTAAATAACCCAAGAATCAAAGGTGAAGGAAAAAATTAAAATTGTAAATAGAAAGTATTTGGAACTGAATGCATAATGAAAACAGAACATATAAAAACTTGTGAGATCTTCTAAAGCAGGAGTCAGCAAACTTTTTCTTAAATGGCCAGATAGTTACTATTATAGGCATGAGGACCAACAATCTCTTTGGAAACTACTCGTCTCTGCCATTGTAGCACAAAAGCAGTAATAGACAGTACATAAATGAAAGGGTATGTCTGTTTTCCAATAAAGATATATTTATTAAAAACATGGCAAGTATGCAAGCCAGAGTTTACTTGTCTCTGATCTAAAGCAGTATTTAGAAGAAAATTTACACCACTGGTGGTGCAGTGGTTAAAATGCTCTGCTGCTAACCGAAAGGTCAGTGGTTCGAACCCATCAGCTGCTCTGCAGGAAAAAGATGTGGCAGTCTGCTTTCATAAAGATTTACAGCTTTGGAAACTCTACGGGGAAGTTCTACTCTGTGTATAGGGTGGCTATGAGTTGTAATCACCTCGACTGCAGTGCGTCTGTTTTTTTCATTTTTCTTTTGGTTTTATTCACCTATATTAAACCTGTTACCATTGAGTTGATTACAACTCATAGTGACCCTATATTAGAAAAGAAGAAATAGCTCAAATCAATGACTTCAGCTTCCACCCTAAGATACTAGAAATAGAAGAACAAATTCAATTAAAAGTAAGCAGAAAAAAGAATAGTATAAAGACCAGAGTG